GCGCGCCGCGGTCCTGTGAATCGGAGACCAGGGCTTCCCGTCAAGCTCCGTCAGGCAACGGCAGCTCACCTGGAAGATTCTAACGGCTTCCAGGGTGGAGGAGGACACGTGCAGGGATCGCCTCCCGCCTGCCCCGCCAGGGACCCTGGGCCTGGGGCCTCCAGGCTGAGCCCTGGAGCACACCACCCCCTCCAGCCCTCTGAGACGAGAGGGAGGCGGGGTGACACGGCGTAAGGTCCACTTCCTCAGCACAGGCTGGTCAGGGAGATGTGCGTGCCCTTCCTTTGCGACACAGGGCGGGCACCCCAAATCATATCTTGCTGCCTGGGGAGGTGCTGACCCACCCCCAGAGCCCTCCCTGCCCTGCCTGCCCATGCCCCTGCCCAGCTGGCGGGCCAGGGTCATTGCCGACTCCGACTGCCCAGCTTCCTGCGGTCCTTATTCTGGCTGCGCTGAGGGTCGTCCATCTTGTGCACACGGAAACACTCTTTGAGGTTCTGGGACCGGATCTTGGGGTTCAGGATCTCCTCAGTCATGGAGCTGGGGAACCACCCTCTCTCCTGGTCATGCAGACGCTCGCCGAAGATCCACCCTGTGCAGGGAAGGCATGGGGTGGGTCAGGCGCCTCCCGCGGTGGGGAGAAGCTCCCATCTGGGTGCGGGGAGCACGTGCCAACCGTTCCCAAGGGCGGCTGCTCTGCCACCTCTGCCGGAGACTCTCAGCCCAGTGTGCCCCCACTGCTGGGAAGTCACAGAGGAGCCCACAGGGAAGGCAGGCTCTGGCCATATGCTGGGCCATGCAGTCCCACACTGACGCTGGAACCGGATCCAGAACCTCAGCAATCCAGGGCTGCCCCCAAAACCAGAGGCACCTAGAGGCTGGAGCTGGGGCTTGGGCTGGGGGCCGACCATTTGGCTATCCAGCCTGGGCTGCACGATTGCCCTCTGGCTGGGCACTTCCTCCTGGGTCTCACCTCCAGAGGAACAGCATGGCCAGCCCAGGGTGGCCGTCATGAAGTCACACCAGCAGTCACAGTGCCTTGGCTCTCTCCCTCCCTCCCCTGTCTTCTCTCCCTCCTCCCTCTGCCAGAGGTCACGTCCTGACCTGGGGTCTGAGGGCCCGGGCATACACTCTGCAGGTCACCTTTGGGAGGGTCAGGTGAGGCCAGAGGGCAGGAGAGGCCCTGAGACTTTGGGAATGAGGCCCACAGGAAGGGCCCTGCCCGAGGCCTTCCAGCCAGGGCCTGGCCAGAAAGGAGGACTCAGGAGGGGGGTGCTTAGTCTGACTTTGCAAAGGAAAGGGGGTCAGTGCTAAATTCTGCAGGGCTGGGAACAGCTAGCTGGGCTGGGGCGAGCCCAGGGCCTCTGAGCCTGGTGTGCCTGGCTCACCTGGAGGCTCGCTGAAATGGAAGGTCTGGGTTCAGAGTAGGGTCAGGGCAGGATGTCCACGTATCCTCCTTCTCATCGTGATGGGTGGGACAGGCCGGGCCACCCAAGGGGACGGGGCATGGTGCTACCCCGGCTGAGGCTGGGGCTTTGCAAAGGGGAAAGACGGGAGCTCCCAGCTCAGGGGAGGGAAACAGACGTGGGGAAAAATCTCTTCTCTGTTCTGAGGACAGGCCAAAGGATTCCGGGCTTGGAAGTGGAGGAACCGAGGGACGTGGCAGGGTGCGGGCCCCCTGCCACCAGTCAGCGCAGCTTCATCCGGCCGAGACCCCCACCCTAGCCCCCGTGGGGGCAGTGCTCGCGTGCCCAGGGCTCACCATCTTCCGTCTTGTCCAGGGTGTTGAGGATGTCGGCGAGCTCCAGCGTCAGCTCGTCTGGCTGCTGCGCCACGTATGGGTGCACGCACTGGACCTGGGGGCAGTCTGATGGGGCAGGGACGCAGCACCCGGTCAGAGTCCTCCCCCTGCCCCACACCCTCGCAAGCCCTGGACGCCACCTGGCGGCTGGCCAGGACAGTGCTGAGCCCTCGGAAAATACAAGGGGCTCCGGCCCCTGGAGGTAACAGGGAGAGGAGGGCTCCAATCTGAAGAAAATGCCTCTGCCACACCCAGTCCCGGAGTCCCGGGATGATTACACACCCACAGGCCCGGGGGGGCTGCCGGGGCCTCTGGTCAGACACCAGAGGAGCCGCCTGTGCCCGGACACGGTCCTGGCGGCAGTTTTGGGGTGCTCGCTCTGGGTGGAGTGGGCCCACATGGTGAGCGGCTTCCCGGTACAAGCCGGTTTAGAAGCTCTCGACCCCTGGCAGTGTGCGGGCCGCAGTTCTGGTGTCCACAGGTACCTGTCTGTCACTCAGACCCAGTGACAGTCGGGTACTGAACTTTCAGTTCGTACACAGGACCCCTGGGCAGCAGGAGGTGGCTGCTGGGGGCCACAGGCTTCTAGAACAACAGGCCAGGGCAGCGCTGTCTTCACAGGCAGGCAGCAAAGCCACCTGGAGCCGAGCCACGCAGGGCCACCCAGGGCCGCCCAGAGCAGCCGCTGCCTCACCTGGCCGGCTGGCAACTCACCCAGCAGCCGGGACGTGAACGAGACGAACTTGGTCCTCCTGTTGGGGGCCAGCGAGGTCATCCAGCGCTTCATCTCGCTCCTGGCACAGGAAGGGACAGTGGCCCCGCTGCAGAGCTGGGATGGCGTGAGGCTTCCCAGCAAACCTGAGCACGCTCCAGGCCACCCCAGGGAGCCCAGCATCTGACATGATACGGAGGGCGTCTTACGGGCAGGGAGCGGAGCCCTCCGCAGGCCCCTCAGTTACTGAGGCCGGTTCTGAAGCCATGCCCAGACATGGCTGGGAAAGGCAGTGCCCCGCCCGCCCATGGTGTGGACTGCAGCCTGAGGCTGGGGGGGCACTGGCGCAGTTGGGGAGAGGCAGAAGGGAGGGTGTGCAGGCCCAGGGCTCACAGAGCAGCCCTTCCCGCAGGGGCTGGCTGTCCCGCTCAACAGCCCTGGGCTGCAGGGCAGGCGTCCGGCCACTCAGAGCGGGGAGCAGGATGGGGGTTCTAGGCCTGGTATAGGTTTTAAATGTCTCATCCAGGGAGAGGGCTCGCCCGGAGTCTGATGCCTGAGGGACACACAGGTCACACGTGTGCACCAACAGCCCCGGGAGTCGGTGGGACGGGAGGCCCCAGGGGTGCACCCGCCGGCTGTCGTGCCGGTGCCTGTGGGTGCCACGGGCAGACACTCACTGAGAGGTGGCTTTCAGCATGTAGGTGGCCTCCCGGTCGTCGGCGTTCTCGAGCAGCCGCAGGATGACAACGT